AGGGAACGTTGGGGTACGCGCGTGTTACATTCCAAGTATTCGGGTATGTTCATGCGAAATGTTTATTATGTGCAAAATGTTTATTATGATTTGTCAAACAGATGGAAACGGTTTCCTAAAATTTCAAAATGGTCGCATCTGCTGTCTCATTTTTCATCTGCTTCAAACGTCTTGCACCTATAATTCCAGTACTTCATCTAATTAGGCATACAGTTAGACTACGGTCCCGCTGCGCTCAGTACAAAAACGCTGTATCTATTAATGGATCCTGGATCCTTGTTTCCTTATTTCTTTCGGCTGGCATCTTCAGACTTTGCATAGATCCTTGTTTCTTTCGGCTGGCATCGTCAGACTTTCTCTTAGTATTACGTGGTTACTACTCAGCACTGCGCTTTTTCAACTCTTATCTTTGATTCTCGTCACATATCCAGCCAGACTTTTCCTTCTGATACATTTGTCTACTTTTCAAATTAGAGCAGGACCGCCAGTGCTTCACTGAGGTCTTGGTGCACCTCGGTAACGCTGCAGCATGTTGGAGCCTGCTTGCAGTCAGTGCTAGTTCTCTTCGCTTGTGGCTAATCGCATCCATTCAACAAAACGTAATACTGTTGCAGAATTAAAAAAGTGTTGCTTTTACGTTGTTGTTCGGAAGAATTCTGGTATCTGATATTCATTCTACTGGTTTCGTCTGTCGTAGCTCCACAGCTTTTACATTATGTGTCTCACGTAGATTTAGCTGCCCATCATTTCGACGCGCTAATTCCCGAGCCTCATGTCAAGCTAACGGGCGGATACACCTCGTTATTCTATTGTGAATTTGAAAGCGCATTTCCTGTACACGGATCTCAAGCGTGTTTACCAAACTCTACAACGATTTTGAGTAATCCGCGGCGAGCACGAGAAGCAAGGAATTCGAATTTCTTCACTATTCTCATAAAATGCATCTGCTGCATCCCTCATAGGACTGATCGTCTTAAAGTACTTAAGTACAGCTATGACGCTCCGTGTCCAACAGCACTTGGAAGGAGCATGCAAAGAGTCGCTCATCAGTAAATGAGAATAATCCTGAAGCGTGACAGTGGCGTGTTAATTGGAGATGCACACTTATTGGCTTAAGTCTTCTCGACTTTGTCAGTCGCAAAAGCCACTCAATTATTCAACGATACCGACAATGGTATCTCTGTCCGGTGCAACAGATAGACCCTTCGGCGTCCTGGATGCAGCTTTTGATTCAAAAGAATTGCTTTCAAGCATTTCAGGCCCTTCCCCACAGTCCTAATGATAGAGAATTTGAAAATTTGTAAAATAGGACTGGAAACTGATTAAAGTGTGTGTCTTGTTTACCGGCTACTCGCCGACTTGTGTATTATGAGATTACAAATACCACTGAACTGTCAATCGCTAAAGGTTTTACTGACTTCCTATTGCCGTTTGGTTGCAATCGTTCAAATTTTAACGCAAATTTCGAACCTGACCCTAATCCGGCCGCGGTCACTGCTCTTCTAATGTCGAAAGAGCGCTTACGCTCTGATAAAGGGGCTAAATAGCAAAATTCAGAAAACAAACCAGTTGATGATGAAATTACAAAGACTGCTCTTTACAATATAGGAATTTGGCACCAGTATGTGAGTCACTCAAAAATCATTTCGTTTTTCAAACTTACTTTTGTTCCTTCGTTCTTCTCCCCTCCCTCCTCACCTCATCCATCCATCTTTCAATGTATCCAGACGGTACAAGCGGATGTGCGCACATCAAAAGAGCACACCGCATTTTTTGTTCCTCCTTGTCTTACAAGAGTCGTCTAATCGAGATACGATAAGGAAAAATAATCTCATTTCAGCTGCTCCATTAGATGTAATTTTTTCCACATATTTGTGTAAACAGAACAGCAATATTAGCGCCGATAATATCAAAAAACTCCGGCGTTTTACACAGGCAGTTCGCATGACCTGACGAATGGAACCCTGAATTGATAAAATCTCGGATTTTGCAAAATGCATAGTTACGCTGAGCAAACGATAATAACTGTAGTGATATTAAACCCCAGGAGATCTCGACGGATTATAGTCCGGAAGGTTTCCATTCAGAAAGAACAAAGTTTTGACTTCGACTTTTGACAAGCTTGTATTTTGATACGTTCCCAGGAGAAGAAATCTCAGGCCGCCTGAATGCAAACAGCAGCTCAAATAGAAATTAGCTATCGCGAAACTGCCTGCGCTTCTTCCGGAAATCCCAGCCGCACCTATCAAATGTGAAATAAGGAAAGAGGAGTTCGACGAGCTTAAAATTCCTCCCGCTCCTACCAGCGCCTGTGCAACAGAACAACCACCGTTTAGTCAGTCACCTGAGGGCTCTGTCAGTATTTGCTCGAGAGGTTAGCTAGCATGGTTTCTTACACTGCCAACGCAACGCCTATAAAAGGCTCTGCGCATAGAAAGATTCAGAAATAATGTTGTCCTTGTTACTCCAGCATAAAACGTCTAGTCTGAACCGTTTAAATTATTCCCTTCCAGCGTTCTTCCTCACTTCTCTCGTGCTCGGGGTTCTACTGCATACAACCTGAGCATTAATCGACAGCACTGACGCGTAGAAATTTTAAGAAAACGCAACAAAAGTATGCGAACTGTATGAGAAAAATGAAACTCCAGTGGAAGGGTGTTTCGAACAACTTTCTGTTTAGCAGTGAATGCATGAAAGTTAGAAAAATTGGTGAGCAGCGGCACCACTTTGATGTTTTCATTGTAGTGAATTGATTACGAGGTCAAGTTACTGACAAGTAGAACAGTGAAGTGCGATGCTTGATCACAGTCTGCAAAAAGTAACCAACTGTCCCTGCAGAAAGATATCCGAGGAAGCAGGGAAGTTCAGAAATCTGGAAAAGAAGCCCTTGAAAAGAAACCCAGGTTTGCAATGAAACGATAGCGTATGGTTTGCTAAACGAAAGTGAGTAAAAATAACAAGAAGGCACGCATAGAGAAATAGTAATATCCATTTATTTAAACCTATTTTATAGGTAATTAAATAAGTTATTTGAGTAGTGTATGAATAGCTAGAATAAGAATATTTCGGTCCATTAAAAAACTTGTATACGTAGGCTAATTTTGAGCTGTATACGTAAGCTGTATACATAGGCTAATTAGCCAGCATAAGCTAATTTTGAGTAAGTGCAACTTTCCCGGTCGATAAAGCGCAAAAGAAAATACTCCTAAGTAATTAAATTTGTTACAAAAACGACTAAAATTCGTTATAAAAATTATCACTCGACTTTATATAATAATAATGCATCTTTTGGTCAGCTGTTGAAAGCGTGTGATCTTTGAGTTGTCTCTCAGTTGGCTCTCGGTCAGCTAGCAGCTTTCACTCTAACACTGCAGCAATCACCAGAATTTAAAATTCGTGTCAAATACCGTACGTCCTAACCCCGTCCAAAACTGTAACTCACATGTTACTGAATTAGCTTTCAAGCATACTGGCTTTTGCACTGAGCTCTCCGGAGAGAAACACACACCCACACAGACGCACCTATACACACACATATGACACTCATGTACACATGCAGACATATACATTCATATACATCTCAACATTATACATGTGTTTCAAATGCAGACTTGTCCTAAGGATCAAATGCCGCTTGGCAGTTACTGAGCTGAAGCCGCGTTTTTTAGAAAGTCTTTGTGGCTGTGTTTCAACTTTGTGCAGAGAACAAAAACAAAATCGCAAAAAAGTCTAAATTAATTTTTTGTCAAAAAAATCCTGGAAAAATTTTGAAAAATCCACAATTAGGACTGGCCGTAAAGCAGCTAGAACAGTAACAAGCTGCACTCTTCAGGAACCACAAACAAACTTGCGAGAGCTGTGTGGAGGGCAGCTTGCTTGTCCTATTTAGGCAATAAAAATAAGCGCCCCGGGTTTATATATGACGTATTTACAGCAGTGTATACATACGATGTTAAACGAACACAGAGAGGGCCTCGTTGCTCGTATTGAGTGTCATGAACACATCAAGCTAGCTCAGACCAGAGCAGAATGGAGAAGTCTCCGCGAGGCAGCAGCTGATCAAAGTAGCAAAGTAGGATACTAATGACAGTAAACGTAGCTGACAGCAGGTGAATGTCTCCTGTCAGTGGATATATAGGGAAACAACAGTGAGATGATGTGTGTTTCTGAGTAGATAGGGCAGCGCCCAATACAATGCAGGACGAACAAATGTGGTTGCGTTCTGATGCCATCTCTCGGCAACTTCAAAAAACTCTACACCGAGCAATTTTAGTGCATATTGTTTCATCTTATTTTGATATCATATCATTCGGTCCTGCAGCCCAAAGACATCCCAGTAACATCATTAACACAGGGAACCTATATCGACTGTGTTGGCAGTCCTGATATTCTTCGTGTCATTTAAATATTTCGATAAATTCCATGAGCGCTCTCTTACGACTGTTTTGTTAGCTTACGACCACGACTTACGACTATTTTGTTAGATTAAAAGGCGTAAACTGCTCATCACTACGATAAAGTACTGAGCTATAAGCTTGCCTGCCCTAATTCCCTACGCAAAAACTAATACGTGTTAGTGGGAGAAATTTAGTTACGACGAAGGTCCTAAACGGAAAATATACACACATGTAAAGGTCAGGAACGCATTTTTCGATTTATAAAAAGTATATTAATCAATGAATGAACAGTATATTGGTGAGTGATGCAGTTTGGATGGTACAAGAATCTGCTCACCATGAGGCAGAGACTGAAAATAACAAAGAACCGTGACTACTAGCGTAGGTGGAGGAATTTAGCAGTGTTCTGCTTCGATTTTTCCGGTTGGCCACTGAAAAGCAGTCCGCAACAAGCCCAACGCAAGTTCAGTTTGACCAATGACCAAATGCACCAGCACATGATCGAGGAGTTCAAGCTTAGCCTAGAAGGCAGTCCATTGCTCCACACACAGCCATACCAGTATTCGTCAGCATAGAACCAAATGCAGCCCCAGCCAACAGAAATTAGGCAAAAAAAGAAAAGTGATCAAAAAGCACCTGTGTTAGCGTCATTTTGGTGAGCAGAGCGAGCATAATTTTTTCAGCTTTTGTCGGATACGGATTCTTGCGATGCTCGTTGAGCCACGATTTTAGTGGTGCTGTTGTTTCACGTGTTGCATTCTTGCGTCGCGCACCGTCCAATCCGCTCGCGTAGGGATGATATGACATTGGGTCAAAGTAAAAACCGGGAACCGCGCGCACAGCGCCCATCATTTCTGGCTTCATTTCCTTAAAATTTTGCACATTATATTACCACAATTATTCACTGTGAGCGCCGAATTTTGGCGCATATTGTCCGAGAAAGCAAAGCGCTCAGCTACTACTTCTTCTTACCTAGATAGCAAGGATAACTGAACAATCAGTGTGGCCGGTTTGATGTTAATGGGGTTCATGGATGTTACAACACACCGGGCACTGTTCTATCAATGCTAAGCTGCATATCTCCAGCCAGTAGCTACGGTCAGTTCAGTGTATTTGCGCCACCTCTTCTTGGGCCACGCGAGTGAGCGTTTTCTTTCTCGGGTTACCGTTGATGCAGTTGTACCTCGTTCGACGAATTTTATTTCCTGGCATGGTTGCGATGAAGACTTGCACAGTTTTTTTTTTTTTTTTATCGTATATTTTGTTGCACGAAATAGCCCAGCGGGTAGTAATCTTTACAAAAAATCACAAAAAAACAGACACCGGGGCGACCTTTGAAGAAATGGTGTGTCAGGCTAACGGGTGGTAGCAAGCAGACGGACAGCCAATAGTCAGGCAGCTAAGAACTTCAGTACTATCGATAGCGAGATGCTGCATCTCACTGCCACCGAGAGCAAGATGCCGCATCTTCGAGAACAAGACTCTGCAAATCGGTATGCTGTGGTTGAAAATTTAGTGTTCCCGCTGGACAGTAATTATTCTCGCGAATTATTTCATTACTGAGTGCTGGAAAAAGATGTTCATTGAAGAAAAATGTTCGGCAAGGGTGTTGACACATGAAAGCGCGTCTTTGGTCCATGGGGTGTGCGACGTCCGACATGACATGTTCGCCCCCGGATACCACCGCTTCTGAAGGAATAAAAAATGATCGGTGTTACAACAAATCGTTGTGTTGTTCCTCGGTTCGTCACTGTCACGGGCTCGCCCCCCGCCCTCACCCAACTG